AAGCCAAACCTGTCTCCTTCCAAAGGGAATCTTAAACTATCCTGTGTAATCCTGAATGAGCCCAGATTCAAGGGGAAGCATAAAGTGGAAAACACCTAAAGGTAGTGTAATTTAGTAGTTTGGAGTGGTACACACTTATCCAGATGCTGGCAGCTATGTGTTCTGAGCTAAGTTTCCTAATTTCTGAAATTTCCCTTTTTTTCGCTAGTAAATTGGAAGTAACAGTATTTTCTCTTGTAGTGGTGATTAAATGATATACTGTTAACAACACCTCTCAAACTCTTCCACTTGGATGATCTTCAAATGAGAGTGAGTGTCCCAATGCTAAGGGCATCTGCCAGGACATTGCTTGAAGCAGTCTGCCACAAACAAGACTTTTCAGTGAAGTCACAGGTGTCATCCAAAAAATATATACAAATTTTGCTTTCTACAGCCCCTCATATATTCTTGTTTGGTTCACTCAACCGAAGTTCCATGAGGACAAGAACAGTATCTGTCTTCTTTCTCCTATAACATCCAAGAAATAGTTATTTGATAGATGAATATGTGTGCAAATAAGAGTTTAAATTACTTGCCCACAAGAAATACTGACTCTCCAGGAAGAGAGCCCTGAATTTATTATTTATTTTGTGGCTTTTTTTTTTTTTTTTTTTGAGACCGAGTTTCGCTCTTGTTACCCAGGCTGGAGTGCAATGGATCGATCTCGGCTCACCACAATCTCCGCCTCCTGGGTTCAGGCAATTCTCCTGCCTCAGCCTCCCGAGCAGCTGGGATTACAGGCACGCACCACCGTGCCCAGCTAATTTTTTGTAATTTTAGTAGAGACGGGGTTTCACCATGTTGACCAAGATGGTCTCGATCTGTTGACCTCGTGATCCACCTGCCTCGGCCTCCCAAAGTGCTGGGATTACAGGCTTGAGCCACCACGCCCGGCCTATTTTGTGGCTTTTTCTACTCCTGTTATGCTGCTCACATTCCTGGGTATGCTCATATACAAATTCAAGAAGCATTTATTTATCAAGGCACCCAATGGACTCGGTAAACAGTGAATGTTATTATCATTATAATCTGCCTTCTCACTCCTCCTCTACTCCATTGTTGCTAAGGCTTTGTGGACTTTTTTAAAAAAGAAATTAGAGAGGACTAGGAAGGTAGGAGTCTGGCAGGCTTTCAAAGAAGCGTGTGTGGCTCTAACCACATACCCTTACCCACTTAGAACTCTTTTTTTTATACATTTTCTTTACTCCTGGCTTTAGTTTATAGCGTTTTATTAAAACTTTCTAGAGGTGAGGAGCTATGGGATTGAAAAAGGGTTTTCTCCCCTCTCTGCCTAGGCCATGGGTTTCTAACCTGGGATTCATGAATACCCTTCATGGAGTCTAGGAATTCCTTGAAACTTGGAGTTTTTGAGGAGTTTTCTGGAGCAAGAGATTCTCATAGGGATCTGTGTCACTTCAAAATGTTGAAATCACTGATGTACAACTTAATGTGAACTACACTAGAATTGACTTTACAGTTACAATTAATATTTTTTTATTCCTTGGAGATTGACACTATATAATAATTTCCACTCAGAAATTATATAATGAAGATTAAACTTCACTAGTCACCCCTTGTCATTCCCCTCTCTCTGCTCATCCCCCACCTTCCACAATGATTTACTTGGCTTTACAGTCTAATGTCCTGAATTGCTTGGGCTTTACAGTTTTTTACTCTTTACTAGATATTTATGCTTTGAACCAAGTGTGCTTAATGCAAATGTTTATAATCCTCTGTGAAAGTATTATAGATAATTCTTTGCATTTCAGATAAAAACAGTTTATAGACATATAAGGTGAAGATCACTTAAGTGGAAAGAACATGTATCAATGAAATAACAATTTGAATTGAGCAAATGTAAATCTATGTAGATTAATACATATTCTCAGAATTACATAGCAGATTATAATTCTATCAAGAAGTAGGGGTCTTTTGATGCCTATGAACATTTATGAATTATATAAGAACTCTGAGATTAAGTTTTTAGCCATAGTATTAAGTTTGGGATCAATATCATTTTTATTAACATGTAAGTACAACAATTATATCCAAAAAAAACTTCCATTTAACTTAGATTTAATTTGTTTTAGACTGTAATATACACACTGTGATTTTTGTTTCCATTTCGGATTCCTATCATTGACAACCAGCCTGTGTGTCATTTGACATCCAGGAAAGATCGTTTTTCATTGCAGACCTTGGATATATTAGTCAATTTTGGTACAATGTATACTGATACCTTTTGATCACATCGAAAATTTAATCTTGACTAATTTTATGAATAAATGCTCCTTGAAATTTAGAAAAGAAAGAGCTTAGATATAGGAACATAAACACTAGGTATATTTTTAAAAGAACATAATATTCTTGAGAATTATTGGGTTTATAACATGCAATAGAAAAATAATCATTGAACATATTTAATGGAACACTGTGAATAATATTTTCTTCTTCTCCCTAAAGCTTAAGAAAGACAGTAAGTTTGAAAAAGGAAGAGGAAAAGAAAGAGAGAGAGAAAGGAAGGAAGGGAGGAAGGGAGGAAGGGAGGGAGGGAGGAAGGGAGGAAGGAAGGAAGGAAGGAAGGAAGGAAGGAAGGAAGGAAGGAAGGAAGGAAGGAAGGAAGGAAGGAAGGAAGGGAGAGAGAAACATAGGAAAGGAGGGAAGGAAGATGGGAGAGAGGGAGGGAAGAAAATGGCAAGAAAACATGCCCCAGTGCCGTAGTCTAATATCCCGGCTTGTAGAGAAGACAAGAATATAGCCAAACTTAGAGCTTTAAAGTCTTTGAAGACTAGTCAGTCTTTTTTATATATATTTCAAATTTGTATGTACTTTCAATGAATCATACATAATCTAATTACCTTGCTTAAAATTTTCATTAAACTCATCAATTTTGTGAAACAATTTGAAAAGCATTGGAGATCTCCAACCTCTCTGTATTAGCATGCATAATGATCAAGGCTGGAGCTTTTTAGCTTAACTTGTCTTGTCACCATCCTTCACACCTGCATGTACTTGAGCGAGATTTCACTTGACCACGAAGGGAAATCATTTCTTTGAAGAAATCGCTACAATAGTGCCATTGTCCCAAAAACTTTCCAGGAAGGGAGATGTCTTTAAGTGCTGGATTTCTGCTTTAGCCTTTTCAGTGCAAAGTTACTTAATCAGGTCCTTCTACTTGATCTCCTTTAGTAAAGTTTGTTATGCATATTTTGGAGGCCTTATGTGAAGTCGTTAAAATAGAGACAAGATTCAGTCAGCCTATATTAAATCCTTGATACGTTTTAGTGAGCTCGAGGTAGGAGGACCTGCTTTGTTTTTGCTGTATCTTTGTTTGGTTTATTAATTTCTTATGGATCTCCTACTACTTCGGTTTCATTCTTCTAAGAGAAGCTATCAGAACAATGATGGGGCTGGGCATGGTGGCTCACGCACGCCTGTAATTTCAACAGGTGTGAGAGGCCAAGGCGGGCGGATCACCTGAGTTCAGGAGTTGGAGACCAGCCTGGCCAATATGGCAAAACCCCATTTCTACTAAAAGTACAATAATTAGCTGGGCATGGTGGTGCGCACTCGTAGTCCCAGCTACCTGGGAGGCTGAAGCAGGAGAATCACTTAAACCCGGAGGTGGAGGTTGCAATGAGCCAAGATTGTGCCACTGAACTCCAGCCTGGGTAACAGAGGGAGAGTCCATCTCAAACACACACACACACACACACACACACACACACACACACACACACAATGATGGGCAGACCAGTCCTATAGTAGTTTTTTGGCATGTAATTTTTTTTTTTTTTTGAGACAGTCTTGCTCTTATCACCCAGACTGGAGTGCAGTGGCACTATCTGGGATCACTGCAACCTCCGCCTCCTGGGTTCAAGGTATTCTCCTGCTTGAGCCTCCTGAGTAGCTGGGAGTACAGGTGCCCACCACCACGCCCAGCTAATTTTTGTAGTTTTAGTAGAGAGATGGTTTCACCATCTTGGCCAGGCTGGTCTCAAACTCCTGACCTCAAGTGATCCATCTGCCTCGGCCTACCTAAGTGCTGGGATTACAGGCATGAGCCATGGCACCCAGTGTGGCTTGTGATTTAAAGAGTGAAATATCAGATTTTAAACACAGAACAAGAAAACTGTTAGGGTCAACTCCCCCGAAATTTGAAATTTTCATCATTAGAGATATGTTTGGTGGGACTGAAGCTTTGTTTAAAATCACTTTATCATATTATTTTCCACCATAGAGGGGACATTCTAGGCTGGTGAGAAGGAGCAGAGGAAGTTTTAGAAGGCAAGCCCAGGGCAAACATAACTTGAGTTCTTAGCAACACAAGAATGTATTGAATTTGTTCAGAGGAACTTCTGAACATTAAACATACTAAATATACCTTAGAAGGGACAAAGTTTATCAGGGTTTGACTCCTCTTTGTCAAAATTAGCTAAAATTGGTCATGTACTATATGGTAAAGTTTTTACCTATTCCAGTCAGTGCTGCCCAATGGAAATTTTGACAATAATAGAAACATTTTATATCTATGCTATTCAGTAAGGCAGTCACCAGCACATGTGGGTATTGAACACTTGAAATGCAGCTGGCAAGCTGAGGAACTAAACGTTTACCTTTTTATTAAATGTTAAATAATTTAAATCTAAATAGACAAATGTGGCTAGTGGCTATTGAGTATTAAATGGTAGCACAACTCTACCCAATCCCATGATACAAATCAGAATGAAATTGACAAAGAAAGGTCTTGCACTCCTTGTGCTGGGAAGTACTGTGTTGGTCATCATAGCAGGGGGTCACACCTTAGAAAATTTTTGTGAAGCCAGATCTTTACTTTGAGGCTAGAAGTGACAAAATAGGCTCCTCTAGGAACAACCAGTCTCATCTTTACCTAGATTTGCTTTCTTTCTTCCCACCATATCGTTTGGTTTGTTTTTAATTCCTTATTTTTTCTTTTTTAGTTCTTTGACCATCAGTCTGTGACCTGCCCTTTCTCTTTACGTAAGTAAAAGTGATTTCTTTACCTTTTAAAAAAAAGTGTTGGATTTAGGAAATTGTGGTCTTCATTGGCGTATTTCCCAGTTGACTTTGTTGTGGTTTCTAGCGGTTCTGTAGTGTGTGTTAGTGCGTTTTGCGTTTGGAGTCTATGCTGTTGGTGGTAATACTAAGTTGCTATATCCATGAGGGTGCAGAAAATACCAGCAGTCCAGACACTGTACTTCTGTAAAGGCTGCCCTTTACTTGGCTGCAGCTGCTGTTTGCCAAAGTCACTGCTCTTTTAAAAGTATAGCTTACATTATTCAGCCAAATACCAGCAACAGTTGGGCCTTTGCTCCCCTGTCAATCATTGGGCAATTATGTATTCTTCAGTTATGTACCCATCCCTAGGTCCAATAGTTTTTAATTTTAACTTCCAGATCAGAGCTTTCATTTATTGACAAAATTTCTAATATCCCTTTACTAAGAAGTACAAGACTGTAAAGTAAATAGGCTAAACTTTTGTGCAAAATTATGAAGTCTACAGGGGGAAAAAAAGAAATCCCAGATTCACATGTGCCAGAAGGTTTATAAAAGTACCACTCTTTTTTAGAAAAGGTAGAAAGGCATTGGGGGGTAAAAAACCACTTGATTTTATATGAAAAGAAGAACATTAATTATTTAAAGTTCATGCCAGCTGCACTGAATGGGTTTAAATAAATTTTATTTTGAACTACTTGAAAGAGATTCTAGGCCAGTGAACCCAAATAATCAAAGTCACTAATAAGAGACAATACCCAAGTGATCCTACAGGTAGTGATAGTCACCTAATGTGATAAATAATTATCGGCATCCTCTGGCTGCTTCTCACTCTCTGGTGAGCCCTGTCCCTTATTCACAACATTATGTCTTGCTTCACTGACTCCTCACTCCAAGATATTTCCTGTATTATAATCATTTGCACAGAATGGAGATTCCGGTGGCTATTTTGTTTGTGTGTGCCTTCCACTAATATTCCTAGAAGATAGTGGCAAATGTATTTAGGGAGGCAGAATCCTCCAAAGGATGCTAAGGCTAAAGTGTAACGTGACAGTTTATTTGACAGAGAAAGGAGATTGATTAAACTCCCCAAAGACCTGTGCTATGTGTAATGCATTTATACAACAGGGGTGGGTCCTACCTGCCCCTGACAAGACTTGTTATTCTCTATTTCAGTGTTGATAGAGTGGGTCTGTTAATGCTTTGGAGGATGTCAATATGCATGCTTATGGTTACCACTTTATATCTGCACACCCTCCCCTCAGTTACCTAGCACTGCATATTTCTAGTCCTCTGACTGGCAAATCATTTTTGTTACAGTTCTTTTGTGTAAAAACAGTTCACATAATAGCTCTGTGTTAGACAAGGCATTAATCCTCACATCACGGGGATGAGTCAGCAGAGTGCACTCCTGCCCGCACGGCTCAGCTATTGTGACGTCAGTGCTATAGGGCGAGCCTCAGACACAAGCAGTACAGGGGACCTGTGTCACCAATTAGGAATTAAGGGGGAGACTTTGGAGATAAAAAGTGTAGTTGAAAGGCTGCCTCTGGCTCATAGGAAAATGTAAATCTGATTCTATGCTACATCAACCATCAGTCGCATTGCTTCTAGAGATATCCTATTTTTTTAACCACACGTAAGGCTGGGGGAATGACCTATAATAAGCTGATAATTCGTTCATATACCCATGACCTTGTCCCATTCCTGGACCAGGCTTCATGTTTGCTAGGCTTGTTCCAAATCTTGAAGCTGCCCTCATATCAGCAGGGTGACGAGGCTTATGACAGTCCTACTGTCTTCAAGTACACCATAGACACAGTTGATGCCTTCAGGGTGGTGCCCCAGAGGCCCAGCAAAAGGAAAAGAAATGTCCCTTGAGAACAGATCAGAACATTATCTCCCCAGTGCTTCGACTCCAAGTGCTTCTTCAATAGCCTACTCTAAACAGGTACAGAATTCTGCTTGTTCTACCTTCTCTTCTTAGCAGTGCATTTAGTCCAATGTCACAATCTGCATTTGACCTGGATTTCAATGGGAACTGAATAGCTGCCAGTTATTCCCCCCAGAATTTTTCATTACATTACTGTTTAGCAGAAACAAAGAGGAACACTCCATAACCTGCCATGCAGCCTTAAAGCAGGTAGCACAGACTTACCTTATTTGGGAAACCTGGTTCTTATAAGTTAGGTCTCTCCACAATTCAGATTCAGATTTATTCTCAGGGCAATATCTTTCAGTATTGAATATTAAGTCTTAAAAAGGGTGTTAATTTGCAGCCTTAGCAGCATTCTTTGTTAAAAAAAGACATTCCTCCATCACAGAATTCATCCCTCATTCTTACTGTCACCCCAGCCAGTCACCAGCTCCTGCCATACCCATCAGAAAGTGCCTTACTGCTGGGATCTTCTGCCTTCATTAGATTGCTAATGGGCTCCTACTATGCTTATAAAAGCTAACACTACTACTTGGCTTCGTTTTGATTAATTATCATACACAGCTCTTTATTTAGTTTTCATTCAACAAACATTTATGGAAAGCTAGTCACTATGCTTGGTTCTGGAGTCTCCAAGATAAATAAAAAATGCTTTCTTTTGTTAGAAATCTCACAGTCTGATAGGGGACATAAATAAGTGAATAAAGACTATACGTGATAGGCACTGAAATGCAGGTATATACAAGACATAGTAAGAGGAATAAATAAGGAGTGCCTACTTGCATGTGGAAAGGTGCCCAGGCTGGGTCTTAAAGTCAGAAGAGTAAACTGCAGTTTACCAGTTAGATATGAGAGAGTAGAAAGAAAAGGTGATCATAATCAAGAAAAAAATGTAACAGCATTTACAAAATCAGGAGGCATTAAGTAGCAACAAGATCCAGAGGAGTGCATAGTTCGGAGTGATTGAAACATGATGGTTGAGATGTGACTGGAGAGCAGGCAGGGGACCTTGCCTGCCATACAGAGGACCTTGTATGCCATGCAAGAGTTTGGACTTGATCCTGCAGGCTCAAGGAGGCTTTGAAGAATTGTAAACAATTCTAAAAAATTGTATGTTTTAGAAAGAGCACTCTGGTGAAAGTGGAGAGGCTGGCTCAAAATAGGGAGACCAGGTCAAAGGTAAAAGCCAAAGGCCTGAACTGTGCAGTAGGGGTAGAATGGAAGGAAGAGGCTATTTTATAGTGTTGAAACAGACATTCATCTTTGCATGATTCCAGCATATCTTGGCCTATTGCATAATCTTTGCCTTCTAGGAGAAAGGCTGATACATTGCGTGAAGTAAAATTTCAGACCAAAATGCATCCTTATGGGGTCTTCAGCAAAGACCTCAATTTGAATATGACCTCACTTTGAGCTACTGCCCCCTGGTTGCCAGGCTCAAGGGTCTCCTACTGTCCATAGTGAGTCTGGGGAAGGAGCAGGCAGATAAGCAGAAGACATTCTCAGTGTCCTGCTTTTCTCTTCTTTCACCTGAAAATGAAAGAGTTTCTAAATGATGCCCCCCTAAAGTCAATCAATGCCCCCAATTTCCTATCATTTTCTCATTGCTCCCTTTTTCTAAGCAAAATTTCCAAACCATTGAACTGAATTGCAACTTATGCACAGCCGGGTGTTGAAACAATTCAGTGTATTCATTCCTTCTCTCTGAATTAGAGTTCACCATAAGTGTGCTTTTCTCTTGTTCACTTTGGGCTGCCAGGACAATTTAAAGGAAATTTTCAACAGCTTATGTTTCATGTACTATGTTCTCTTTTGCAAATGGGAGGATATGCGTGGGTGTGTTTAAGTCTTCTCTATATTGCTTTCTGGAGAAAGGTTTGGGAAGATGAACAAGATGAGGAGTAGGGACCTATTGAAAGCCCAGGTCCCCCAGTGACCTGAGTGCAGAACGTAGGCTGGTGATCAGATGGTCAATTATGTGTTTGTCAAAACACAGTGGGCTGCATTCCAGGCTGCCAGCTTTGGAAGCCCAGCTTCTGCCAACCAAATGTCATCTGGGAACATGCAACACTGGGCACTGTGAAGGAGTTTGAAATAGACCATGCCACAGCCAACCTACTGCCAGTCTTATAGCACCAATATGGCATGCACAGCCGGGCCCCATGTTTCAGAGCTCAGGAATTCACTGTACTAAATTCAAGAGGTCAGATGGGTTCATGTTTTCAAAGCCTATGTTCTCTGCTTTGAACACTGTGACTTGCTCCTCAGCAATTTCCAAGGGATTTTTCCAGTCACATCTCTGTGGAAACCACTCTTTTTGTGATGGTTATAAGATCCTTGTAAATGTCCCAGAGGATAGGAAAAAAAAAAATAACTTGCTCTGACAATGACTGTAATTTCGACAGAGGGATTCCAACTCTTAGGAAATTACATTAAAGGTGGATAGCTTTTAAAATATCAGGAACCACCTTGGCAACTTATAAAAAGCAGAAGGGCTTTGCCTATTTTATAAAGTGATTTGCATATACCTGCATAAATAATGTCCCCACCTGTACTTTTATGCATTTAGGTTGAATAAATTAAATTTTGTGATCTTTAAAATATTCACTGTCTTTCATTGCTCAGACACCATTTTCAGGACCCTTCCTCCTCATTTATTTTCCTAATGATAGGAGTGGCTATTTTTTTTTTCATTCTTTTGACTCATTCAGAGAATCAAAACACCCTGAGCACCAATCTACCCTAGCCAGGAATATTACCTCCCTCTGGTTGCATTTCTCTTAGCCTTTCTACTTACCAGACTGTGAGTTCCAGGTATTTTTAATAAGAGAAATAAAGTAAAATGTTACTAAGGTGAAACAGCACAAGACAGAATTAAGCTCTACTTACATATATATGTAAGAGAGAGAGAGAGAGTGTGTGTGTGTATGTGTGTGTATGTATACACACACTTGCACTGATACACACCTCAGTGACACGCCCATAGTAACCTTTTCTTTCTTTGACCACCGCACAACTTCTTCAGGAACCATCCAGCTACTAAATCATT